GGTTACTGTTTGAGTAGAACTTTGAGTTAGTCTCCGATTCCGAATTCAAGTCATTATTAGAATTAAAGTTTTAGTTAGCATTGAGTTTCGAGTTGGACTTCAAGTTTGAGTCACATTTAAAGGTAGAGTTCTAGTTACACCATTAAATTTGAGTCACTTTTTGAGTTTGAGTAAGATTCGAATTTAAGTCTCATTTAGATTAATTAAGATTTTGAGTTGAAATTCGTGCTATCTTATATGAGTTCGTTATTAAATTTTCTATCGCGGAACAAGGACTTTTGCTCGGGATTCCGAAAAGAGGGCTCCGGGGTATGCGTACAAAAGATAAACAATGTTACAGTATACAAAACGCAACATAGAAGTTGAAATAAAGTTAGATGTGGTGTGATTGACAATGAGACAACTATCCACCAGAGTTTAAATGCAGTGGATGTAAGAAATCATATATAGGCAACCGTACAGCCTTCAACACACCATATAGTCAGCTATAAAAGGCCACCATGCACCATGTGAAAAAATTCAAACGAAAAAACAAACGGTCTTATTTATATTTAAACAATCTACAAAAAAAAAATGACACACATTTATACAACGACAACAATTGAACTTCGTGCTCCTGACTTGGAGCAGGTACATAAAGAAAGTGCACGTGGTGGAGTTTAACATGTATGTGAGCGCTAAGTCCTAACCTTACATCGGACTGTTACACTTGTGTAACAGCACAACACGAGAAAAATATGTAAACTAGACAAAGTGATGCCCAGCACTCAACTCATTTAACCGCTTATACCCAAAAAATGACAAAAAAAAAAGTTCAATTATCTCCCAAAAGAGCAAAAGATAATAAAAATAAAAACCCTGACCACATGCACACCTTCAATATATGTACAAACAGCCACCAGAGCGAAAACTTCCTAGCATTCAAACTGTTGGAGGAGTTATCTGGAAACGCTCTTCTTATGCAAGTAAATTTCCCAAAAAATTACAAAGTTCAACTATCTCCCAAAAGAACAAATATTAATAAACATTAAACCCTGACCACATGCACACCTTCAATATATTGACAAACAGACAGTAAAGAGAAAACTTCCTAGGATTCAAACTGTAGGAGGAGTTATGCGGAATAACTATATACCCATAATGGGACGGACAGACGGACGGACGGACGGACAGGGGTAAAACAATATGCCCCCCCCCCCCCGCCCCCAACTTTCAGTTGCGGTGGCATACAAAACAGTTTCATTTGGCTGACTCAATAGATCGGTATGACTGGGTAATATAAATCCATCGGGGTGATCTCGGATGCTCCAGAAAGGCACCCGTCGTGTTATTCGAGAAAGTACAAACCCAGTGATTTGGTTTTATTTGGTAGTTCACATTCAAGAAAAAGATGACGGTATTATGGTTACGACCACTGGAACATGTCCGTCGTCACATGTGAAACAGATATTCCAAAAAGTGTATTTTTTAATTAGTGTGAGGTAGATCAGAGAATTCAATTGATTACAAATAAAAGATTGATATTTGTATAAGTTCAAATGATCATTTACGCTAAAAAAAATTCGGAGAATTCTTATTTTATAGTATTGATGCTTTGTCGCTAAGTCCGAGCCCCCTCCCCCCGTTTCCCTGTAACTTTAGTGTGAGTTGATTTGAAGTGCTTCATTTGTTAACATTAAAGTTCAAGTCGTTTGATTTGTGTCGAGCCTGCGACATCAATGTAGCGGCAGTGAGACCCAACAAACCTATATTTCGTCGTCGATAGTGGCGTCGGCGTCTCCATCTCCATTTTTTTTAATTTCTATTGAGTTTAACCTTTCATTATACATGTTACTAAACACGTATGCCATTATAATTTTGTACTTTTAGAATATCATACTGTATTTGTTTACCTCAACTATTGTATCTGTATTTATATTGTATGTTTCTCTGTAAACTTGTAATTAGTTTTTAGAGAATAAAGTATCTATCTATCTATCTATCTATCTATAGATCGTTAGGTTTCTAGTTTTTTACATTTTTCATTTCGGGACCTTTTATAGCTTACTATAGGGTATGGGTTTTGCTAATTGTTGAAAACCATACAGTTTTGTTTTAGTTAAATAAAACCGAATTAAACTGTTTTGACATGATAAATTTGTAAACCTCCATGAAGTGTTTTAAAACTTGTATAGGAGTATAGGAGTTATTCCTCAATTTCAAGAAAAAGCATCTATAGAAACACCAGGCTGAAGCTAGCGAACAATAACTAGCGAACAATAAGCCAGCGAACAATAAGGCGATATATCTAAAAACCGAAAAAACGAATAAGACAGCAACGGCCGTTAAATGAAATATATTTAAACAGGCAGAAATTCCGTCCAAATATTTCAATTTCAACTCCATCATGAAATGGTATTTATCCCATCCATTGATAAAACAAGTCACATCTCTTTTTAGGCATATATTCAGTACCACAGTAAATCTGCATCTGTCAACGGATTATTTGTAGGTGTAAAACCACCAATGCACCCACTTCCATTTAGAACGTATGTAAAAGTAGTCCTTCCCTGTAAAATACAGCACCTTTGATGTCATTGTTTAATTGAACTAAGATACACATTTGCAGAAATGGGGGTTGGCCTATTCCGTAGCTTCTTGGGGAAAAAAATGAGGGGTGTCACGGGGTATGACTATATAGGACTTGTAGAGGAGAAACAGGCGCATCTTTTGCGCAAGGTATTGAAGGGCGCTATGTTCAAAAATCTGAAACTAGAGCTCAAAATTTGAAAACAATTTGTTAAAAACAGGGGGAATGGCCTATTCCATGGCTTCTAGAGAAAAATAATGAGGGGTGTCACGGGTTATGACTACAAATGTCTTGTAGAGGAGAAACAGGCGCATCTTTTGCGCAAGGTATTGAAGGGCGCTATGTTCAAAAATCTGAAACTAGAGCTCAAAATTTGAAAACAATTTGTTAAAAACAGGGGGAATGGCCTATTCCATGGCTTCTAGAGAAAAATAATGAGGGGTGTCACGGGTTATGACTACAAATGTCTTGTAGAGGAGAAACAGGCGCATCTTTTGCGCAAGGTATTGAAGGGCGCTATGTTCAAAAATCTGAAACTAGAGCGCAAAATTTGAAAAAAAAATTGTTAAAAACAGGGGGGGTTGGCCTATTTCATGGCTTCTACAGAAAAATAAAGAGGAGTGTCACGGGGTATGACTATATAGGTCTTGTAGAGGAGAAACAGGCGCATCTTTTGCGCAAGGTATCGAGGGGCGCTATGTTCAAAACTCTGAAACTAGAGCTCAAAATTTGAAAAAAAAATGTTAAAAACAGGGGTAATGGCCTATTCCATGGCTTCTAGAGAAAAATAATGAGGGGTATCACGGGGTATGACTATAAAGGTCTTGTAGACGAGAAACAAGCGCATCTTTTGCGCAAGGTAACGAAGGGTGCTATGTTCAAAAATCTGAAACTAGAGCTCAAAATTTGAAAAAAAATTATTAAAAACAGGGGGTTGGCCTATTCCATGGCTTCTAGAGAAAAATAATGAGGGGTGTCAGGGGGTATGACTATATAGGTCTTGTAGAGGAGAAACAGGAGCATCTTTTGCGCAAGGTATCGAACGAGGCTAAGTTCAAAAATCTGAAACTAGAGCTCAAAATTTCAAAAAAAAAGTGTTAAAAACAGGGGGGTTGGCCTATTCCATGGCTTCTAGAGAAACATAATGAGGAGTGTCACGGGGTATGACTATATAGGTCTTAAAGAGGAGAAACAGGCGCATCTTTTGCGCAAGGTATTGAAGGGCGCTATGTTCAAAAATCTGAAACAAGAGCTCAAAATTTGAAAAAAAATTGTTAAAAACAGGGGGGTTGGCCTATTCCATGGCTTCTAGAGAAAAATAATGAGGGGTGTCACGGGGTATGACTATATAGGTCTTGTAGAGGAGAAACAGGCGCATCTTTTGCGCAAGGTATCGAAGGGCGCTATGTTAAAAAATCTGAAACTAGAGCTCAAAATTTGAAAAAAAATGTTAAAAACAGGGGGTTTGGCCTATTCCATGGCTTCTACAGAAAAATAATGAAGGGTGTCACGGGGTATGACAATATAGGTCTTGTAGAAGAGAAACAGGCGCATCTCTTGCGCAAGGTATGGAAGGGCGCTATGTTCAAAAATCTGAAACTAGAGCTCAAAATTTGAAAAAAATTGCTAAAATCAGGGGGGTTGGCCTATTCCATGGTTTGTAGAGAAAAATAATGAGGGGTGTCACGGGGTATGACTATACAGGTCTTGTAGAGGTGAAACAGGCGCATCTTTTGCGCAAAGTATCGAAGAGCGCTATGTTCAAAACTCTGAAACTAGAGCTCAAAATTTGAAAAAAAAAAGTTAAAAACAGGGGTAATGGCCTATTCCATGGCTTCTAGAGAAAAATAATGAGGGGTATCACGGGGTATGACTATAAAGGTCTTGTAGACGAGAAACAAGCGCATCTTTTGCGCAAGGTAACGAAGGGTGCTATGTTCAAAAATCTGAAACTAGAGCTCAAAATTTGAAAAAAAAATATTAAAAACAGGGGGTTGGCCTATTCCATGGCTTCTAGAGAAAAATAATGAGGGGTGTCAGGGGGTATGACTATATAGGTCTTGTAGAGGAGAAACAGGAGCATCTTTTGCGCAAGGTATCGAACGAGGCTAAGTTCAAAAATCTGAAACTAGAGCTCAAAATTTCAAAAAAAAAGTGTTAAAAACAGGGGGGTTGGCCTATTCCATGGCTTCTAGAGAAAAATAATGAGGGGTATCACGGGGTATGACTATAAAGGTCTTGTAGACGAGAAACAAGCGCATCTTTTGCGCAAGGTAACGAAGGGTGCTTTGTTAAAAAATCTGAAACTAGAGCTCAAAATTTGAAAAAAAAATATTAAAAACAGGGGGTTGGCCTATTCCATCGCTTCTAGAGAAAATTAATGAGGAATGTCACGGGGTATGACTATATAGGTCTTGAAGATGAGAAACATGTGCATCTTTTGCGCAAGGTATCGAAGGGTGCTATGTTCAAAAATCTGAAACTAGAGCTCAAAATTTGAAAAAAATTGTTAAAAACAGCGGGTTTGGCCTATTCCATGGCTTCTAGAGAAAAATAATGAGGGGTGTCACGGGGTATGACTATATAGGTCTTGTAGAGGAGAAACAGGCGCATCTTTTGCGCAAGATATCAAAGGGCGATATGTTCAAAAATCTGAAACTAGAGCTCAAAATTTGAAAAAAAATTGTTGAAAACAAGGGGAATGGCCTATTCCATGGCTTCTGGAGAAAAATAATGAGGGGTGTCACGGGGTATGACTATATAGGTCTTGTAGAGGAGAAACAGGCGCATCTTTTGCGCAAGATATCGAAGGGCGATATGTTCAAAAATCTGAAACTAGAGCTCAAAATTTGAAAAAAAAATATTAAAAACAGGGGGTTGGCCTATTCCATCGCTTCTAGAGAAAAATAATGAGGGGTGTCACGGGGTATGACTATATAGGTCTTGTAGAGGAGAAACAGGAGCATCTTTTGCGCAAGGTATCGAAGGAGGCTAAGTTCAAAAATCTGAAACTAGAGCTCAAAATTTCAAAAAAAAAGTGTTAAAAACAGGGGGGTTGGCCTATTCCATGGCTTCTAGAGAAACATAATGAGGAGTGTCACGGGGTATGACTATATAGGTCTTAAAGAGGAGAAACAGGCGCATCTTTTGCGCAAGGTATCGAAGGGCGCTATGTTCAAAAATCTGAAACTAGAGCTCAAAATTTGAAAAAAAATTGTTAAAAACAGGGGGGTTGGCCTATTCCATGGCTTCTAGAGAAAAATAATGAGGGGTGTCACGGGGTATGACTATATAGGTCTTGTAGAGGAGAAACAGGCGCATCTTTTGCGCAAGGTATCGAAGGGCGCTATGTTCAAAAATCTGAAACTAGAGCTCAAAATTTGAAAAAAAATTGTTAAAAACAAGGGGAATGGCCTATTCCATGGCTTCTGGAGAAAAATAATGAGGGGTGTCACAGGGTTTGACTATATAGGTCTTGTAGAAGAGAAACAAGCGCATCTTTTGTGCAAGGTAACGAAGGGCGCTATGTTCAAAAATCTGAAACTAGAGCTCAAAATTTGAAAAAAAAATATTAAAAACAGGGGGTTGGCCTATTCCATCGCTTCTAGAGAAAAATAATGAGGGGTGTCACGGGGTTTGACTATATTGGTCTTGTAGAAGAGAAACAAGCGCATCTTTTGTGCAAGGTAACGAAGGGCGCTATGTTCAAAATCCTGAAACTAGAGCTCAAAATTTGAAAAAAAATTGTTAAAAACAAGGGGAATGGCCTATTCCATGGCTTCTAGAGAAAAATAATGAGGGGTGTCACGGGGTTTGACTATATAGGTCTTGTAGAAGAGAAACAAGCGCATCTTTTGTGCAAGGTAACGAAGGGTGCTATGTTCAAAAATCTGAAACTAGAGCTCAAAATTTGAAAAAAAATTTATTAAAAACAGGGGGGTGGCGTATTCCATGGCCTCTAGAGAAAAATAATGAGGGGTGTCACGGGGTATGACTATAGAGGTCTTGTAGAGGAGAAACAGGAGCATCTTTTGCGCAAGGTATCGAAGGAGGCTAAGTTCAAAAATCTGAAACTAGAGCTCAAAATTTCAAAAAAAAAGTGTTAAAAACAGGGGGGTTGGCCTATTCCATGGCTTCTAGAGAAAAATAATGAGGGGTGTCACGGGTTATGACTATATAGGTCTTGTAGAGGAGAAACAGGCGCATCTTTTGCGCAAGGTATCGAAGGGCGCTATGTTCAAAAATCTGAAACTAGAGCTCAAAATTTGAAAAAAAATTTGTTAAAAACAGGGGGAATGGCCTATTCCATGGCTTCTAGAGAAAAATAATGAGGGGTGTCACGGGGTATGACTATATAGGTCTTGTAGAAGAGAAACAGGCGCATCTTTTGTGCAAGGTAACGAAGGCGCTATGTTCAAAAATCTGAAACTTGAGCTCAAAATTAAAAAAAAAAAATTTAAAAACAAGGGGAATGGCCTATTCCATGGCTTCTAGAGAAAAATAATGAGGGGTATCACGGGGTATGAATATATAGGTCTTGTAGAGGAGAAACAGGCGCATCTTTTGCGCAAGGTATCGAAGGGCGCTATGTTCAAAATCCTGAAACTAGAGCTCAAAATTTGAAAAAAAATTGTTAAAAACAGCGGGGTTGGCCTATTCCATGGCTTCTAGAGAAAAATAATGAGGGGTGTCACGGGGTATGACTATATCGGTCTTGTAGAGGAGAAACAGGCGCATCTTTTGCGCAAGGTATTGAAGGGCGCTATGTTCAAAAATCTGAAACTAGAGCTCAAAATTTGAAAACAAAATTGTTAAAAACAGGGGGGTTGGCCTATTCCATGGCTTCTAGAGAAAAATAATGAGGGGTGTCACGGGATAGGACTATATAGGTCTTGTAGAGAAGAAACATGCGCAAGGTATCGAATGGCCCTATTTTAAAAAATCTGAAACTAGGGCTCAAAAGTAAAAAAAAAAAAGGAAAAAACAGAGGGGTTGGCCTATTGGTGTAATACCTCCATTGATTTTCTTTTCTTTTTTTTTTTTAAATTTGCAGTTTTCAAAAAAATGTGGAGAATTTATCTTTGTTTCAAATTAAAAAATTAACATAACATTTCATTGCATATAAGAAAATAACTATCACTGTCAGTTAACCAATCAAATTTGCCCCTTATTTAACCTGTGTACAAGCTTTAGTAACCATGCAACCTCAAGTTTCCAAAATATTCTACAGAAACCCACCCAAAAAAATGATGCTTTGAAATACCCAAGATACATGTATATGTTTATGACCCAGAAATGTTTTACTGCAATAAAATGATGGATTAATTACCTACAACTGTCAAATTCAAGGGAATATTTTTTCGACCTATTTTCGTATGCAACCGGATGTGACGTACCATGCATTCATTGGTGGTATTACACCTATTCAATGGCTTCTAGAGAAAAAAATAATGTGGAGGTTCACGGGGTATAGCTATATAGGTGTTGTAGAGGAGAAACAGGCGCATGGTTTGCGCAAGGTTTCGAGTTGCGCTTTGTCCAAAAACTGAAACTAGGGCTCGGAATTTCAAAAACAATTTGGGAAAAACAACTGGAATTTGCCTATTCCATAGCCTCTGGAAAAAATAATGAGGGATGTCGCGGGGTAAGACTATAAAGGTCTTGTAGAGGGCACACAGGCGCATAGTTTGCGCAAAGCTTCAAGAGGTGCTATGTTTAATTATGTCGAAAGGAACTAAAATTTAGTGAGGAACAAAGCCAACTCAAATGTCAGACAAGAACGTGAAAATCGTGAAAAAGACATATCAGAGTCAGCAAAGAAAAATTTCTTGTCATATGAAGTCGAAATGAAAATCCAAATTCCCCCATCCGAATCATATGATGAAAGAGATTGTAACATGTGTTATGTAAGTACTGAAATACCATGGAATAGGCCATTCCCCATGTTTTTAACAATTTTTTTCAAATTTTGAGCTCTAGTTTCAGATTTTTGAACATAGCGCCCTTCGATACCTTGCGCAAGAGATGCACCTCTTTCTCCTCTACAAGACCTATATAGTCATACCCCGTGACACCCCTCATTATTTTTCTCTAGAAGCCATAAAATAGACCAACCCCCTGTTTTTAATAATTTTTTTTCAAATTTTGAGCTCTAGTTTCAGATTTTTGAACATAGCGCCCTTCGTTACCTTGCGCAAAAGATGCGCTTGTTTCTCTTCTACAAGACCTATATAGTCATATCCCGTGACACCCCTCATTATGCTGTAGAAGCCATAGAATAGACCAACCCCCCTGTTTTTAACAATTTTTTTTCAAATTTTGAGCTCTAGTTTCAGATTTTTGAACATAGCGCCCTTCGTTACCTTGCGCAAAAGATGCGCCTGTTTCTCCTCTAGAAGACCTATATAGTCATACCCCGTGACACTCCTCATTATTTTTCTGTAGAAGCCATGGAATAAGCCAACCCCCCTGTTTTTAACACTTTTTTTCAAATTTTGAGCTCTAGTTTCAGATTTTTCAACATAGCACCCTTCGATACCTTGCGCAAAAGATGCGTCTATTTCTCCTCTACAAGACCTATATAGACATACCGTGACACCCCTCATTATTTTTCTCTAGAAGCCATGGAATAGGCCAACCCCCCTGTTTTTAATTTTTTTTTCAAATTTTGAGCTCTAGTTTCAGATTTTTGAACATGGCGCCCTTCGAAACCTTGCGCAAGAGATGCGCCTGTTTCTCTTCTACAAGACCTATATTGTCATACCCCGTGACACCCCTCATTATTTTTCTGTAGAAGCCAATGAATAGGCCAACCCCCCTGTTTTTAACAATTTTTTTCAAATTTTGAGCTCTAGTTTCAGATTTTTGAACATGGCGCCCTTCGTTACTATGCGCAAAAGATGCGCTTGTTTCTCTTCTACAAGACCTATATAGTCATACCCCGTGACACACCTCGTTATTTTTCTCTAGAAGCCATGGAATAGGCCATTCCCCATGTTTTTAACAATTTTTTTTCAAATTTTGAGCTCTAGTTTCAGATTTTTGAACATAGCGCCCTTCGATACCTTGCGCAAGAGATGCACCTGTTTCTCCTCTACAAGACCTATATAGTCATACCCCGTGACACCCCTCATTATTTTTCTCTAGAAGCCATGGAATAGACCAACTCCCTGTTTTTAATTTTTTTTTTTTCCAATTTTGAGCTCTAGTTTCAGATTTTTGAACATAGCGCCCTTCGTTACCTTGCGCAAAAGATGCGCCTGTTTCTCTTCTACAAGACCTATATAGTCATATCCCGTGACACCCCTCATTATTTTTCTCTAGAAGCCATGGAATAGACCAACCCCCTGTTTTTAATTTTTTTTTTTCCAATTTTGAGCTCTAGTTTCAGATTTTTGAACATAGCGCCCTTCGTTACCTTGCGCAAAAGATGCGCCTGTTTCTCTTCTACAAGACCTATATAGTCATATCCCGTGACACCCCTCATTATTTTTCTCTAGAAGCCATGGAATAGGCCATTCCTCCTGTTTTTAACTATTTTTTTCAAATTTTGAGCTCTAGTTTCAGATTTTTGAACATAGCGCCCTTCGATACCTTGTGCAAAAGATGCGCCTGTTTCTCCTCTACAAGACCTTTATAGTCATACCGCGTGACACCCCTCATTATCCTGTAGAAGCCATAGAATAGACCAACCCCCCTGTTTTTAACAATTTTTTTTCAAATTTTGTGCTCTAGTTTCAGATTTTTGAACATAGCACCCTTCGATACCTTGCGCAAAAGATGCGCCTGTTTCTCCTCTAGAAGACCTATATAGTCATACCCCGTGACACTCCTCATTATTTTTCTGTAGAAGCCATGGAATAAGCCAACCCCCATGTTTTTAACACTTTTTTTCAAATTTTGAGCTCTAGTTTCAGATTTTTCAACATAGCGCCCTTCGATACCTTGCGCAAAAGATGCGTCTGTTTCTCCTCTACAAGACCTATATAGACATACTCCGTGACACCCCTAATTATTTTTCTCTAGAAGCCATGGAATAGGCCAACTCCCCTGTTTTTAACAAGTTTTTTCAAATTTTGAGCTCTAGTTTCAGATTTTTGAACATAGCGCCCTTCGAAACCTTGCGCAAGAGATGCACCTGTTTCTCCTCTACAAGACCTTTATAGTCATACCCCGTGACACCCCTCATTATTTTTCTCTAGAAGCCATGGTATAGGCCAACCCCCCTGTTTTTAACAATTTTTTTCAAATTTTGAGCTCTAGTTTCAGATTTTTGAACATAGCGCCCTTCAAAACCTTGCGTAAGAGATGCGCCTGTTTCTCTTCTACAAGACCTATATTGTCATACCCCGTGACACCCCTCATTATTTTTCTGTAGAAGCCATGGAATAGGCCAACCCCCCTGTTTTTAACATTTTTTTTCAAATTTTGAGCTCTAGTTTCAGATTTTTTAACTAAGCGCCCTTCGATACCTTGCGCAAAAGATGCGCCTGTTTCTTCTCTTCAAGACCTATATAGACATACCCCGTGCAACACTCTTTATTTTTCTCTAGAAAGCATGGAATAGGCCAACCCCCCTGATTTCAACAATTTTTTTTTAAATTTTGAGCTCTAGTTTCAGATTTTTGAACATAGCGCCCTTCGATACCTTGCGCAAAAGATGCGCCTGTTTCTCCTCTACAAGACCTGTATAGTCATACCCCGTGACATCCCTCATTATTTTTCTCTAGAAGCCATTGAATAGGCCAACCCCCCTGTTTTTAACAATTGTTTTCAAATTCTGAGCTCTAGTTTCAGATTTTTGAACATAGCGCCCTTCGATACCTTGCGCAAGAGATGCCACTGTTTCTCTTCTACAAGACCTTTATAGTCATAACCCGTGACACCCCTCATTAACTTTCTCTAGAAGCCATGGAATAGGCCAACCCCCTGTGTTTAATATTTTTTTTCAAATTTTGAGCTCTAGTTTCAGATTTTTGAACATAGCACCCTTCGTTACCTTGCGCAAAAGATGTGCTTGTTTCTCCTCTACAAGACCTATATAGTAATACCCCGTGACACCCCTGATTATTTTTCTCTAGAAGCCATGGAATAGGCCATTCCTCCTGTTTTTAACTATTTTTTTTCAAATTTTGAGCTCTAGTTTCAGATTTTTGAACATAGCGCCCTTCGATACCTTGCGCAAAAGATGCGCCTGTTTCTCCTCTACAAGATGTTTATAGTCATACCTTGTGACACCCCTCATTATTTTTCTCTAGAAGCCATGGAATAGACCAACCCCCTGTTTTTAATATTTTTTTTTCAAATTTTGAGCTCGTTTCAGATTTTTGAACATAGCGCCCTTCGATACCTTGTGCAAAAGATGCGCCTCTTTCTCCTCTACAAGACCTTTATAGTCATACTGCGTGACACCCCTCATTATCCTGTAGAAGCCATAGAATAGACCAACCCCCCTGTTTTTAACAATTTTTTTTCAAATTTTGAGCTCTAGTTTCAGATTTTTGAACTAAGCGCCCTTCGATACCTTGCGCAAAAGATGCGCCTGTTTCTTCTCTTCAAGACCTATATAGACATACCCCGGGACACTCCTCATAATTTTTCTGTAGAAGCCATGGAATAAGCCAACCCCCCTGTTTTTAACACTTTTTTTCAAATTTTGAGCTCTAGTTTCCGATTTTTGAACATAGCACCCTTCGATACCTTGCGCAAAAGATGCGCCTGTTTCTCCTCTACAAGACCTTTATAGTCATACCGCGTGACACCCCTCATTATCCTGTAGAAACCATAGAATAGACCAACCCCCCTGTTTTTAACAATTTTTTTCAAATTTTGAGCTCTAGTTTCAGATTTTTTAACATAGCGCCCTTCGATACCTTGCGCAAAAGATGCGCCTGTTTCTCCTCTAGAAGACCTATGTAGACATACCCCGTGACACCCCTCATTATTTTTCTCTAGAAACCATGGAATAGGCCAACTCCCCTGTTTTTAACAATTTTTTTCAAATTTTGAGCTCTAGTTTCAGATTTTTGAACATAGCGCCCTTCGATACCTTGCGCAAGAGATGCACCTGTTTCTCATCTACAAGACCTATATAGTCATACCCCGTGACACCCCTCATTATTTTTCTCTAGAAGCCATGGTATAGGCCAACCCCCCTGTTTTTAACAATTTTTTTCAAATTTTGAGCTCTAGTTTCAGATTTTTGAACATAGCGCCCTTCAAAACCTTGCGCAAGAGATGCGCCTGTTTCTCTTCTACAAGACCTATAGTGTCATACCCCGTGACACCCCTCATTATTTTTCTGTAGAAGCCATGGAATAGGCCAACCTCCCTGTTTTTAACATTTTTTTTCAAATTTTGAGCTCTAGTTTCAGATTTTTGAACATAGCGCCCTTCGATACCTAGCGCAAAAGATGCGCCTGTTTCTCCTCTACAAGACCTATATAGTCATACTCCGTGACACCCCTCATTATTTTTCTCTAGAAACCATGGAATAGGCCAACCCCCTTGTTTTTAACAATTTTTTTTTCAAATTTTGAGCTCTAGTTTCAGATTTTTGAACATAGCGCCCTTCGATACCTTGCTCAAGAGATGCGCCTGTTTCTCCTCTACAAGACCTATATAGTCATACCTCGTGACACCCCTCATTATTTTTCTCTAGAAGCCATGGAATAGGCCAACTTTTCAGATTTTTGAACATAGCGCCCTTCGATACCTCGTGCAAAAGATGCATCTGTTTCTCCTCTACAAGGCCTATATAGTCATACCCCGTGACACTCCTCATTATTTTTCCCTAGAAGCCCTTGAATAGGCCAACCCCCTGTTTTTAACAATTTTTGTTTTAAAATTTTAAGCTCTAGTTTCAGATTTTTGAACATAGCGCCCTTCGATACCTTGCGCAAAAAATGCGCCTGTTTCTCTTCTACAAGACCTATATTGTCATACCCCGTGACACCCTTCATTATTTTTCTGTAGAAGCCATGGAATAGGCCAACCCCCCTGTTTTTAACATTTTTTTTCAAATTTTGAGCTCTAGTTTCAGATTTTTGAACATAGCGCCCTTCGAAACCTTGCGCAAGAGATGCGCCTGTTTCTCTTCTACAAGACCTATATTGTCATACCCCGTGACACCCCTCATTATTTTTCTGTAGAAGCCATGGAATAGGCCAACCCCCCTGTTTTTAACAATTTTTTTTCAAATTTTGAGCTCTAGTTTCAGATTTTTGAACATAGCGCCCTTCGATACCTTGCGCAAAAGATGCGCCTGTTTCTCTTCTACAAGACCTATATAGTCATACTCCGTGACACCCCTCATTATTTTTCCCTAGAAGCCATTGAATAGGCCAACCCCCTGTTTTTAACAATTTTTTTTTTCAAATTTTGAGCTGTAGTTTCAGATTTTTGAACATAGCGCCCTTCGATACCTTGCGCAAGAGATGTGCCTGTTTCTCCTCTACAAGACCTATATAGTCATACCCCGTGACACCCCTCATTATTTTTCTCTAGAAGCCATGGAATAGGCCAACCCCCTGTTTTTTATAATTTTTTTTTTCAAATTTTGAGCTCTAGTTTCAGATTTTTGAACATAGCGCCCTTTCATACCTTGCGCAAAAGATGCACCTGTTTCTCCTCTACAAGACCTATGTAGTCATACCCCGTGACACCCTTCATTATTTTTCCCTAGAAGCCCTTGAATAGGCCAACCCCCTGTTTTTAACAATTTTTTTTTCAAATTTTGAGCTCTTGTTTCAGATTTTTTAACATAGCGCCCTTCGATACCTTGCGCAAAAAATGCGCCTGTTTCTCTTCTACAAGACCTATATTGTCATACCCCGTGACACCCTTCATTATTTTTCTGTAGAAGCCATGGAATAGGCCAACCCCCCTGTTTTTAACATTTTTTTTCAAATTTTGAGCTCTAGTTTCAGATTTTTGAACATAGCGCCCTTCGAAACCTTGCGCAAGAGATGCGCCTGTTTCTCTTCTACAAGACCTATATTGTCATACCCCGTGACACCCTTCATTATTTTTCTGTAGAAGCCATTGTATAGGCCAACCCCCCTGTTTTTAACATTTTTTTTCAAATTTTGAGCTCTAGTTTCAGATTTTTGAACATAGCGCCCTTCGATACCTTGCGCAAAAGATGCGCCTGTTTTTCTTCTACAAGACCTATATAGTCATACCCCGTGACACCCCTCATTATTTTTCCCTAGAAGCCATTGAATAGGCCAACCCCCTGTTTCTAACAATTTTTTTTTTCAAATTTTGAGCTCTAGTTTCAGATTTTTGAACAGAGCGCCCTTCGATACCTTGCGCAAAAGATGCGCCTGTTTCTCCTCTACAAGACCTATATAGTCATACCCCGTGACACTCCTCATTATTTTTCTCTAGAAACCATGGAATAGGCCACCCCCCCTGTTTTTAACAATTTTTTTTCAAATTTTGAGCTCTAGTTTCAGATTTTTGAACATAGCGCCCTTCGATACCTTGCGCAAAAGATGCGTCTGTTTCTCCTCTACAAGAGCTATATAGTCATACCCCGTGACACCCCTCATTATTTTTCTCTAGAAGCCATGGAATAGGCCATTCCCCCTGTTTTTAACAATTTTTTTTCAAATTTTGAGCTCTAGTTTCAGATTTTTGAACATAGCGCCCTTCGATACCTTGCGCAAAAGATGCGCTTATTTCTCCTCTACAAGACCTGTATAGTCATACCCCGTGACACCCCTCATTATTTTTCTCAAGAAGCTATGGAATAGGCCAACCCTCATTTCTGCAAATGTGTATCTTAGTTCAATTAAACAATGACATCAAAGGTGCTGTATTTTACAGGGAAGGACTACTTTTACATACGTTCTAAATGGAAGTTGGTCCATTGGTGGTTTTACACCTACAAATAATCCGTTGACAGATGCAGATTTACTGTGGTACTGAATATTAGCCTGACTTGTTTTATCAATGGATGGGATAAATACCATTTCATGTTTGAGTTGAAATTGCAATATTTGGACGGAATTTCTGCCTGTTTAAATATTTTTCATTTAACGGCCGTTGCTGTCTTATTCATTTTTTCGGTTTTTAGATATATCGCCTTATTGTTCGCTGGCTTATTGTTCGCTAGTTATTGTTCGCTAGCTTCAGCCTGGTTATAGAAACACATTTTTTTTAATTTTGTTTTTACCGATAAATGTATAGATAAATGTACAGCCGATCAACATGACGCTTTTACACTTAAAGCAGCAATATCAGGCGAGACATAGGGTTCCGTGGAATATTTTACAATTTTATTACAAAAATACTGCTTCCGTTTGAGAACTTAGGATAAAAACAACAAGACAAAGTGGTTTGGGGATATCCCAATTATGTAAGAAATACTGTAAACTTTTTAATACTTTTTTTCTTATTATTGTCTGCCGGTTACCTTTTTCATGCTAAATAACTCTGAACAACCACTCGAACTTTAATTTGAACTTTAACTCAATGGATAGCGATACCCATCCAAAGCACATTAAACAAATGATATATTGAAATCTGTTTAAAAATAGAACATATTTTTTCCGAATTGGTCACGTGGTTTAACCTCATCAAGTAATGGGATAACCACATCAAAGAATGACAGGACCACATCAAATAATGAAACAAACACATCATGTAGTGCAAAATCGTCAAAGTTTGAAATATCATTACGTAATGTTAAAACCATATAAAGAATAGGCAAATCATCATTACGAAATAACAAAACCACATCATGTAATGAAACAACTACATAACGTTAAGTCACATTCACATCAAGTAATGTTAAAACCACATTGACTAATGACACAACCACATTAAATTATGGTGAAACCACATCGAGTAATGACAAAACCATATTGAGTAATGACAAAACTATATCAAGTCAATACGAAACCATATCGTGTAATATCGAAATATCATTTAGTAATGACTATTCCATATTGAGTTATATCAAAACATCATTACGTAATGTCAAAACCATATTAAGTAAAGACAAAATATCATCAAGTTATAATAAAACAACATAAAGTAATATCAGAGTTCCACATAAGACAGCTGAGGCGTTCCATATACTGGCTTCCGAATCTGCACAAAACTCCTTACAAGTATAGATTTATTTCGTCTTCAAGGCATTGTTTCACTACTAAACTATCTATTCTACTTACTAGTACACTTGGTACAATCAAAAACCTTGTAATAAATTGTTCAAATAAGGCCTTTGAAAATAGTGGAATTTTAAATTACTTTTGGAGTGTCAAAAATTTGTTGGAAGTACTTGATAAATTGCATGCTTATATTGGTGATTTTGAATCTGTTTTGATTTTTCTACCCTATATACCACTTTGCCTCATAATCTTATTAAGAAAAAATTCACATACCTGATTAAATTGGCATTTAAAAAGACGGAATGCGAATATGTATGTTCGAACTCTTTTAGGTCATTTTTTAGTAACAACAAACAAAAGAACTATGTCAATTGGAACTGCTTTAATACTATAACTGCCCTTGAATTTTTACTAGATAACATTTTTGTTTGCTATGGAGATTCCGTTTATCGTCAGGTTATCGGAATTCCATGGAACTAACTGTGCACCACTTATTGCGGACCTGTTTCTGTATTGTTATGAGTTACAATGTATGACTAAAATCAGCAAAGACCCATCGAAACAACATCTGATTCAAATATTTAATAACACCTTTAGATATTTAGATGATATATTGTCTCTTAATAATGACGACTTCAGTATGTACAGTACACTAAAGAGATTTATCCTTCCGAACTGACTTTAAATAAAGCTAATACTAACAACGAACACTGCCCTTTCCTGGATCTTGATATCTATATCTTTAATGGGAAGCTTAATACCAAAATCTATGATAAAAGAGATGAGTTTTCCTTTCCTATTGTTATTATCCATTTTTAGATGGTGACGTTTCCTTGTTACCATCTTATGGTGTTTATATATCTCAACTTGTTTGATTCGCTCGTGTATGTAACAACGTATTTGATTTCAACGAAATATATCTCTGTAGTACTAAAAAATTATTACACCAGGGATTTCGATATCACAAACTAGATAAAACATTTACTAAATTTTATCATCGGTACAAGGACATCATTCGTAAATATAAATCAACATGCAGACATCTTATATGTTCAGGTATTTCACATCCAATATTTTATGGTAATATTCTTTACAAGGCACAAAAATGTCGGCATTCACCTCTAAAGCTAACCAAACCTTTAAACAGACTTATTCGGAAGGGATATAGTTACAATACTGTTGTCAGGTCATTAAGGATTGCATATTTTGGTATTAATATTGATTCACTCATAGGGTCTTTGCATCGGAAATAAATTGATTTGATTTTGATGTTTGGTGTTTTAACGCCACTTTTAAGCACCGCTTTTGGGCTATTTCGTGGCGGCCAGTTTTTATTGGTGGAGGAAGCCGGAGTGCCCGGAGAAAACCACCGACCTTCGAAAGGAAAACTGACAAACCTAGTCAATTAGGATTGGAGTCGAGTGCACCCGCACGAGCGGGGTTCGAGCTCACAACCTCAGTGTTGACTGGCTAGTGATTACAGTAGTAACTACTTAGACCACTCGGCCACCGAGGCCCCGCATCGAAAATAAACACATTTATTCTAAAACCAGTTGTTGGCATGATACGGGTTATGTTCTTCTCATATATTTTATGATGGTATGATACTAAACCCCTAACGGGAGGGATTATACCTGATTTTCATATGATGGAGACATAATCTTTCAATCAGTTTAATTGAGGTCTGGAGCTGGCATGTCAGTAACTGCTAGTAGTCCTTTGTTAATTTATGTATCATTGTCATTTTGCTTAGTTTCTTTTGTTACCTTTTCCGACATCGGACTCGGACTTCTTTTAAACTGAGTTTTACTGTGCTTATTGCTATGTGTTTCTTTATTGGCTAGAGGTATAGGGGGAGGGTTGAGATCTCACAAAACATGTATAACCCCGCCACATTTTTGCGCCTGTCCCAAGTCAGGAGCCTTTAGCCTTTGTTAGTCTTGTATGTTTTTTTAAGTTTAGTTCCTTTGTATGTTTTGGAGTTTAATGTGACGTCCATTTTCACTGAACCAGTACACAATTTTATTTAGGGGCCAGCTGAGGACCACCTCCGTGTGCGGGATTTTCTCGCTGCGTTGAAACCCATTGGTTGCCTTCGGCTGTTATCTGCTCTTTGGTCGGGTTGTTGTCTCTTTGACATATTTCCCATTTCCATTCTCAATTTAATTTTATTAGGAAGGTTTGCACAAAGTTGGATGATTATCATTTTTTTATTTAAGACAATTGGCTTTCAACAAATTGTTGTCATCGTTTTTTTTTTATGTTGTCGTGTTTTGATGACTTTCAGTTTCACAATCGTGTATTTTCCCGTAAAATGCTTATATTCTTTCATCATCGTTCAATGACGTCTTTACACAGACTGACTTCCGGTAACATATTCATATTAGTATACGACGTGGGACTATGGAGAACAGCCATAACAAATCATGACGGTTGCCGATCAGCTGACATACAATATATTCGTATTTTACCACGGGTGTGTACTCAAAGCGTTTAAAGAACATCATAATTATTAGAATCGTCATTATATGATATAAAAATAAGGAGAGGTGGTATGGTTGCCAATGAGACAACTATCCTAAGATCAAATGAAGTGGATGTAAGCAATTATAGGCAACCGTAGGGCCTTCAACAATGAGAAAAAATATACCGTACAGTCGGCTGTAAAAGGCCCCGACATGAAATAATTCAATTGAAAAACTAACAGCCTAATTTATAACAAAAAAATTTACGAAAAAGACATATGACAGACACGAACCAACGACAACCACTGAACTGAATTGACAACTGAACTACAGGCTTCTGACTTTGGAAAGGCACATAAAGAATGGGGCAGGGTTAAACATCTTTATAAGCGCTCAACCATTCTCCTAACCTGAGGCAGTGGCGTTACAGCACAACATAAGAACAAACTATTAAAATCAGTTGAAAAGGGCTAAAATAATCAGATCGATACAAAGCAGAAAAAAATCTAACAAAAAAGCAGACCGGACATGGCAGGGTATTTATTATAAACATCCCTAACAAAAAAAAATGACATGAAGTACAGATCTGAAAGTACTCGCAATTACCGATAACTAGTTCTGTCAAAATCAATAACAAATAATAAAAAAAA